GGGGGAGGGAGGAGGATGGAACACGAGAAAAACTAGCAGGAGGGAGGCTCGGAGAAGTAAACACGTGGCAGAACCAGATGGGCAAATCGGGCAGATAGACCCTAACGGGCGGGTCGGGAAGGCGAGCCCAGTCGGCCAGGTCGAGCAAGCGGGTTGCTGAAGCGTCCGTCCTGCATGAATCGCGAGGAAGTTTCTAGCCGTAGCGCCATTCCCGCATAACTCGCAAGGGCATCCACAGCGAGAGCGTGATTCCTGAGTGTCGAGGGCGCAGCGTCTGCGGACCTCTCCTCCCTACTTGTCCTCCTCCCCCTCCTCCCACCACTGCACGACTGCCGTTTCTGGATTCAGCAACAGTTCAAACGTGCTCCATGTAGTGACGCTATTCATGGTATGCTCTATTATGTCCTGGTTTATTCTCGACGCGCCGCCGTGACGTCGTGACGCCTGTGACGTTAGATGCGTCGTCTGTTGCGATGTTCCTCTTAACCCGTACGTTCCTCTTCTGATTGAGTACGTCATGCTATGCTCATCGCTGCCACAATATGATTTGAGATGTTTTTGTATGACCTGCTCTTTGGCACTATGTTATGGCATGAGATGTTCTGACAGGCTATGATACAATATCTTATGTTCTGAGATCATGTTGACAGCTCGGCTCAGTATGACATATTATCATATGCTCTGCTCGTATGCTTTAATACGCTTGGCTGTTGTGTTATGATATGGCATGCGATGCTGTCCTGATATGGTATGGCCTGCTCTTTCAAGCTGTGTTCTGGTATGCTCGGTTCTGTCGGGCTAGTTTGGGTTATGGTGTGTGTTGTCGGTTTCTGCTATGTCATGTTCTGCTCTGGTATACCGAATGGTGTTATGGTTGTTGGCGGCGCGGCCCTTTAAAGTATAGTATGATCTGCTCTGGTACTATGTGTCGGTATGCTCTGTTGCCTTGGTGTGATATATTGCGCGATAAAGTGCAATGCTATGATACGGCTTGTCAGGGTGCCACGTGCTATGTTCGGTGATAGTATGTTATGTTATGATATGCCGTCTCCTGCTATGAGATGTTATGATATAGCATGTGATGTGATGCTATGTAATGGCGTGGCATGACATTGCTATGTTGTGTTCTACCATGTTATATCATGCGCGTGGCCGGTTTTGTCATGCTGTGTTATGTCATGCTGTGCTATGTCGTGTTCGTCGTCGCTATGCTTTGTTGTTGTGTTATGAGATGGTGTGTGATGCGATGTCTTGATATGATATGGTCTAGGTGTGTTGTGTGATGTTCGGGTATGTTATGGTATGGTATGGTATGTCGGAATATGCTATGCCATGTTATGTTATGGTATGGTATGTGACGTTACGCTTATTGACGGCTCGGCTCTGTTTAGTATAAATGGTCTGCTCTGCTACTATGTGTCGCTATGCTCTGTTGTCGTGCTATGATATGTGATGTGATGCTGTGTCCTGACTTGGTATGTTCTGTCAATGTGTGTTATGGGATGCTCGGTTCTGATATGTTATACTGTGTTGTGTCGTCTTCTGGTATGGCATGTTCTGCTCTGGTACGTTCTGCAAATGTATGGCATGTTTGCGTTATGTTCTGTCCTGTTGTGCTGTGCCGTGCTGTGTTTTGTCGTGTTCGTCGTCGCTATGCTCTGTTGTCGTGGTATGGTATGGTCTAAGATGATTTGTGTTGATATGATACGTTATGTCAAGGTGTGTTATGTTACGCTTGGCTGTGTTGTAGTATGTTGTGAACGTTCGTCTTCTGTTATGCCATGTTCTGCTTTGGTACATTGATTATGCTCTACTGTGTCATGACCTTGCAATGTTCTGTTCGGACATGGTCTGTCATGCTCATGGCCTGTTCTGTCATGTTATGTCATGTTGTGTTCAGCTGTGTTCGTCGTCGCTATGCTTTTGCTGCCGTGCTATGGTATGTTCTGTGATGCTGTATCATGATATGGTATGGTATGTCAAGGTGTGGTATGTTATGCTCGGCTCTGTTCTGATATGTTGTGTTATGTCGTCTCATGTTCTGCTCTGGTAGGCCATGTGATACTATGTTATGTCGGTATTGATGTGCTATGTTCTACTATGTTCTGTCATGCTCGAATTTTCTTATGTCCTGTTCTGTTCTGTCATGTTGTGTTCTGTCGTGTTCGTCGAGGGCGCGAGGCGGGACACCCGGGACTCTCGGGAACCATCGGGACAACTTGGGGTCTGGCGGCCGCGATATGCAGCGTGGGGTTGGCCGGGGGAGCCGTTTCTTGAAATCTGGCAACCCCAACCTGTCGGGTGGGGGAGCATGCAGCGCCAAGATCTCGAGGAAGGAGCGGGGGGGGAGGCGTTCAAAAGCTACCCCGCATCGCATAACAGTGGAGGGGGTCTGCTTTTGGGAGGGGCCTAACGTGGCTCGCCAAGCAAGATGGCGGGGGGTCTGAGCTGTCGTGCCACGCGTTCGGGGGGGTATACACTCTGTCTACATTTGACGAGGGTTCGGGGGTGGGGCTCAGCTCCCTGCCAATCACTAGCCCCCTGGCGACGACGACGACGACGACCACGCAGACGACACCGACGCCCGCGACGATGACGACCCACGTGACGGCGACGCCGACGCCAACGCCGACGACAACGACACCGACGATGGCGAAGAGGACGCAACGACGAAGACGACGACTTCGACTCCCACGACGACGACGACGACGACGACGACAACGGCGACGACGGCTACGACGACGAAGAGAACGACCACGACAGCACTGACGACATCGACATACTACTTCGAAAACCACGACGAACTCGACAACGACGACGACGACATCAACGACAACTATGAGGACACCGACGATGAAGACGGCACTGACGAAGACGACGACGACCACGACGGCGACGACGACGACGACGCCGACGCCGACGCCGACGACGACGACGACGATACCAACGACGGCGACAAAAAGGACGACGACGGCGACGACGATCCCGACGACAACGACAAATACGATGAAGACGGGGACACCGATGACAACGACACCGACGACGACGAAACGATTATGGTGAGTAAGATCGTACGTGGCGGTTGGTGTCATCGCCGTCGTCGGCGTCGTCGTTGTAGTCGTCGTCGCTAACGGTGATGAATACGATGTCGGTGGTGTCATCGACGTCGTCGCCGTCTGCGTCGATTGTATCGTCGTTGTAGTCGTCGTCGACCCCAACGTCGCTGTCAACGTCGTGGTAGTCGTCGTCGTCGTCGTCGTCGATGTCGTTGTCATCGTCGGTTTGATCGTCGTCGTTAGTGTCGTCGTAGTCGTCGTCGTCGTCGTCCTCATCGTCGTCCTCGTCGTCGCAGTCGGCGCCGTCCTCGCCGTCGTTGTCAGTGGCGTCGTCGTAAGTGTCGTCGTCGTCTGTGTTATCCTCGTCGTCGGTGTCGTCTTCGTCGTCTTCGTCGGTGTCGTCGGTGTCTTCGTCGTTGGCGTCGTCGTCGTCTTCGTCGTCGTCATGTTCGTTGTAGTCGTAGTCGTAGTCGGTGTCGTCGTCACCAGCGTCGCCGTCGTCGAAGTCGTCGTTGTCTTTCCAGGGGGGGTCCAACAATGTATGTCCGAACGCTTCTCTTTTGGGGGGGGGGCCTATACCGAAACGTCAAACGATGATTCTGGGGGGGGGGTCTGGGTGTTGGTGCGGTTGCACCGCTCTTGGAGGGGGGTCCCAGACGGGCCGTCAAACACCTGTTTGACACCCCCCCCTCCACGATTGTGAGATGTGGGGAACTAAAGTTGCTGCATATACTTTGGCGCCCGTGGGCCCTCCATGGAGGGCCTCTGGACGTCTCTGGAGGCCCCGTGTTGACCTCTGGAGACCATCCGCGGAAACACCTCTGGAGACCTCTGGGGAGGGGGAAGCAGGAGAGCGAGCGAGAACGAGGAGGAGAAGGAGGAGACGGAGAAGGAACAGCAGGAGGAGGAGAAGGAAGAGGCGGAGGAGGAAGAAGGGGGAGGGGGGGGAAGGAGGAGGAGGAGGAGGAGGCGGAGGAGCAGGAGGAGGAGGAGGAGGAGGAGGGGCAGGAGGAGGGGCAGGAGGAAGAGGAGGAGGACCAGTGCAAACCCAAGACTCATCAACGATGTTTGAATACACCCTCCCTCCAAGCTCCCTCTTCACAAGCCCCTACAAGGGTTTATTCCTACTGAGGGACGTGCCCCGTTGGCGGACAACCGTGTGAGAATCATGAAGCGTGCCATCACACCATTCTCAGGACTTCAACGCCACGAATCAACCTGACTGTTGCGACTTGACGACCCTGAACCGTTCCAGTAAACCATTCCTTAGACTTCATCACCGCGACTCAACGCAAGTGTTGCGTCCTGACATTCCCGAATCGCTCCAAAACACCATGTCTGGCACGTGAAACACGAGAACCAGTGAAACCCGTGCACAGTTTTTGAAAACCACACGCCCTCAGCCCATGAAGCTCTTGCAACATTTTACAACGAATGTGAGCGGCGCTAGGGCGAGAGCCACATTTTTGAAAACCGTCCGCCCTCCATCTGTGAAACTCTTGCTAATATTTGGAACGAATATGCGCGGCGCTAAAGCGAGAGCCGCATTTTGGAAGCGACCCGCCCTCCATCTGTGAAATGGTTGTCAAATTTCCAGCTTGAGACTCAGAAACGGCAAGGAAGTCTTAGGTGAAACGCCCGGCCCGCCCTTCCGAATGGCCTCGGGGTGCGACAGGGAGGAGTTAGTCATAACGAAAAGGGATGATGGAGGAGGAGGAGGAGGAGGAGGAAGAGGAGGAGGAGGAGAAGGTAAGGAGGAGGAGGAGGAGGAAGAGGAGGAGGAGGAAGAGAGGGGGGGAAGAAAGAGGAGGGGTTAAGACGTGGGGGGAGGGCAACTTGTTCGGGGAGATTTCGGAGGGGAGGGCACAAGAGGAGACGCGGGAGGGACAGGGGTGAGAGAGCGAGGGAGGGAGGGCGGGCGAGGGAGGGGGGGGGGGGGGGGGCGGAGACAGAGGTCGAGGGGGGAGGGGGGGGGGGGGGCAGGATGCGCGCCAGCACTCCATGGGCGGTGCTCTCGCGCACCAGCACTCCACGGGCGGGTGCGAGGGCCATCCTCCTCGCCATCAGGCGGCGGCTCCATGGCCGGCGCTGCGCAGGTGCACGCGTCCGATGCCCGGGGGGGATCTGCACACGACCCCGCGGCGGGGGGGAGAGGGGCCGCGCGTTCGCGGCCTCAGTCCTCTGTGTCGAAGTAGTCGAGCTGCGGCTCCCTCCTCTTTTCGAGCATCTCCTCGATGCTCATTGGAGTGTCCAGCTGGCCCATGTTGCAGATGAAGAGGATCGCGAGCGCGTCCTTGACCATGTCCAGCGGCGGGACGACGCAGAGCAGCACGGGAATCACTCCCAGCAGCATCTCCCTGAAGAGCGAGTTCACCAGGAAGTCGAAGGATCTCCGAAGCCACCACGCAATCGGAGTAAGCTTGGTTCCCGCCTGAGCGAGGGCCTCCCGAGATGCCAACCAGTGACCTGGTTGATACGGGTTGCCGACCTCGTCGAGAGCATGAGGACGAAGAGGACAAGAAGCAGCGGAGAGGAGAAAGACGACGACGACGACGACGACGACGACGACGACGACGACGACGACGACGACGACGACGACGACGACGACTACCTCGTCAAGGCCGGACTCGAGGACCACCGAGACCGAGACAATCCACTGCAGCATCGACCCGTTGCAGTCCTCGTGCGTCTCCTCGTCGGTGTTGATGACGAGGTAGAACATAATCCGCCACCGTGCCCCCTGGCACGTTGAGGCGTGGTAGAATGCCGAGTGCTATCCGGCAGGGCTTCTGTGTTCTAATAAAGGGACCCCCCCCTCTACTAGCGGACTCCCGTATGCACCGCCCCTCCTCTTGAGGCCATGCCTCCTCGGAAAAACTATGTGACCGCGCTCCAGAGGCCACGATCCCTCGCTACAAACAATAAATCCAGCCCCCGAGCTTCCAAGACGGCCCATGCAAGCAGCCAAGAGCACCAAGATAGCCCAAGATGCCTCGAAAACAGCCCAAGATGGCCCCAAGGCGGCCGAACATTGCCTCAAGACGGCCCAAGGTACCTCCACCTCCAACGGAGTCCGAAGAAGCCCAAATCATTGACTTCCCTTGCGTTGTTCAATGAATGTCGCATTCTCTCCGTTTCGGCTTCTGGCAGCTGAAGACGGCCCAAGAAGCCTCCACGATGGCCCCAAGACGGCCGAAGGGCCCCCAAGAGGGTCCCACGATTGTCCACGAGGACCCCGCGATGGCTCAAGAGGCATCCAAGACGGCACCAAAACAGCCCAAAGAAGACCCGAGAGGGCCTCCCGTGGTACCCAAGATGGCGCCAAGACGGCCCCACGACGGGCCCACGACGGTCTTCAGGCACCCACCATACGGCCAAGAGGACCCCAAGAAAGCCACAAGACAGCGTAAGAGGGTCCCAAGACGGCCAACGATGGCACCAAAGGACCCCAAGACTGCCTCACTGAAGGCCAAGACAGCCCCAAGACAATCCAAGCGAGCTCCATGAAAGCTCCTCAAACAATAAAGGTGAAAGGTGTCGCGTGTGATCGCCCGCCTCCTCCTCTTCCTCCTCCTACTCCTTCTCACCTTCTTCCTGCTCCTCACCCTCATCCTCCTAATCCTCCTCCTCGCCAGCATCATCATCATCATCATCATCATCATCATCATCATCAGCAGCAGCAGCATCATCATCATCATCATCAGCATCAGCATCAGCATCATCATCCACACCTCCATCATCATCATCATCATCATCATCAGCAGCATCATCATCATCAGCATCACCATCATCACCATCATCAGCAGCAGAATCATCATCCGCATCAGCATAATCAGCAGCATCATCATCAGTATTAGCATCATCATCACCACCAGAATCATCATTATCAGCATCCTCATCTTCACCATAACCATAACCACCATCATCATCATCATCATCATCCTCATCATCATCATCATCATCATCATCATCATCATTATCATCATCATTATCAGCATCATCATCATGAGCAGCATCATCATCATCAGCAGTAGCAGCATCAGTAGCAGCATCAGCATCAGCATCAGCATCAGCATCATCAGCATCAGCATCCTCAGCATCAACAGCATCATCATCATCATCAGCATCAGCATCAGCATCATCATCATTAGCAACATCATCAGCATCATCATGTCACCGTCATCATCATCACCCTCATCCACAGAATCATCAACAGCATCATCATCAGCATCATCATCGTCGCATTAAGCATCGTCATCATCGCCATCACTGTCAACATCGTTACCATTCATCTGCAGCACCTCATCATCGTCATCAGCATCAGCATCATCGCAATCGTCGTCGTTGTCGTCGCTGTTGTCGACGTCTTCGTCGGCGTAGTCGTCGTCATCAGTATCCGACTCAGCAACATCATCAGCCGCATCAGCATCGTCGTCAGCCTCATCCAAATCATCCGAACCACCATCAGCGCCATCGGCATCAGCAACATCATCACCAGCATCATCAGCAGCAGCAGCATCATCGAATTCAGCATCTTGAACCGTTCCCGTTACCCTCTAACTTCTCAGTGGTCGCATCATCCGCATCACAACTCCCCCAAGTCTGAAGGAACGCAATATCAACGTGACGGTCTCCCCTGCACCCTCGGGCAGTCGCCACCCAGAATGCTGGGCTGGCACGGTGGCGGGACTTGCCGAGGGCACCTGGATAAAGAGCGATCCCTGTCAAGAACAAGATCCTCATCCTCCGCCGCCTCTACATCCTCATCCACATTAGTATCGCTACGGTCATTGTCATCATCATCGTAATCGCCATCGTCATCGTCGTCGGCAGTATCGTCATCGACGTCATCGTTGCCCTCAGCATCATCATCATCATCATCATCATCATCATCATCATCATCATCATCTTCATCATCACCATCATCAGCATCATCATCATCAGCAGCAGCATCAACATCCTCATCATCAGCAGCAGCAGCAGCAGCATCATCATCATCAGCATCATAAGTATCATTATCAGTTTAATTACCAGCATCATCATCGGCATCATTATCATCATCATCATCATCATCATCATCATCATCATCATCAGCATCAGCATCAGCATCATCATCATCAAAATCAGCATCATAATCGTCATCAGCACAATTATCAACCTCAGTATGCTGATATTCGTGTTCATCTGCATCTCCTTCATCATCGGCATCATCATCACGATCACCATCAGCAACAGCAACAGCATCGTGGTCATCCGCATCACTATCAGCACCAGTATCAGTATCATCATCCTCAGTATCACCATCAGCAGCATCATCGCCATGGCCATTGCGATCATCATCAGCAGCATCATCATCAGCATCGCCATCGCCATCACCATCATCATCACGATCATCATCATAATCAGCATCATCATCCTTACCACAATCATCATCATGATTACCATCATCGCCATCATCAGCAGCATCATCAGCAGCATCGCCATCGCCACAATCATCACCTCGCCGTCATCATCGCCATCATCGTGATCATCGTGATCATCGGCATCATCACCATCACCAACTCCCATCAGCAGCAACAGCATCATCATCATGATCATCATCATCGCCGTCGTCATCATCATCACCACCACCATCATCATCACCACCAACATTACCATCATCATCATCATCACCACAACCATCGTTATCATCATCACCACCACCAAAATCAACATCATCGTCATCATCATCACCATCACCATCATCCGCAACAGCGTCAAACTCGTCACCCGCAGCCTGGCAGAAGACCAGCAGCGAGATGTCCGCCAGCGACTGGGAGAAGTCCATGTAGGCGCTCCTGATCACCTTCTGCCTGGCGACCTTGTTGTAGTCCATCTCCTGCCAGAAGCTGCTGGCACCGCCCTGCAGCCACCTGAAAGGGGGGGGCCCAGGCATCCAGCGATTCGATCCTTGCGACGCGCGGGCCCCTGGACCTCCCGACCCCTTCGCCAGGGCCAGCTCTTCATCCCGAGCCCCTTCATCTGAACGGCCCCGATGCCCAAGACCAGCCTCCAGAGGCCAGGCAAGTGGACCAACTTGCTTGCTGGGTCAGCGGCTAGCTGGATCCAGCAAGCGGCCGGCTCTCGGCGGGGCGCGACGGTATCGAATTGGGCACACAGGAAGAGAAGGGCAGGAGGGGAGGAAGGGGAGGGTCGCGTGGCGACCTCAGTGCCGTCAGAGCATAAAGAACCTCGGCAGGTGCGGGGGGAACGACCGCACATGTCGCCAGAGCGCGACACAAGGAACGTAACCACAAGCAAAGAAATAAGACAAGGGAAAACGGTCTCGGGAGGCATGCCGGGTGGCGGCCAGGAAGTAGACCAAGGGGCCAACATAGTGGCGATGAGCGCGCGACGCGCAGACATGTGGACAAACTTCTTCGCGTCGGAGGCTAGGCATGGTAACTGCGCTGGTGGAGGGCTACCTAAACGTCGATACTGTTGTAGCGGATTGTGCCACCATGCATGAGGGAGGGGAAAAGCAGAGGAGGCGGCCGAAAGAGGAGGTGGAGGGCGCGAGCCGCTCAGGGGGACGGGTCACGCCCCGAGCGTGTGGCGCGGCCAGCCCGGCCGGCGGGCCCGCGGCGGCTGCTGCACCAGGGGGCCCGCGGCGGCGGGGCGCAGTGCGGGGGTAGGTACCACCCCAGGAAGCAAGGGTGCCAAACGGACAGTGTCAAAGCCTGGTGGCCGCCCTTCCCCTGGGGCGTGAGCGGGTGTGGGTGCCACCAAAAAGATGGGGCGGCGGCGGGCGGCAAGACCAAGCCTGGTGACAGGGCGCGGGCGGCGGCTGCGGGCAGCCAGGGGCGGCGGCTACGAGCAGCCAGCCGGGCAGCCCCATGGCGGCGCGTGGAGGGGGGGGAGAGCGAACGGGGGAACGAAGTGAACAGGGAGGAGGCCGCCCCACCTGTGGGGCCCTCGGGTGGGGCGGCAGGGCGGCAGCACCTGCCAGGCGCACCGCCCAGCGCCAGGGGTGCAGCAAGAGAGCGAGGGCCCTGCCGGCGCCAAGCGGGGGCAGCGGGCGGGCCCCCGAGGTCACCGAGGCCCGCAGCCCGCAAGCGAGGCGGAGGCGCCGGAAGCAGCAGCGCCAGGGGCGCCGCCCCGCGCAGCAGGGGGATGCCAGGGGGCAGCGAGGCCCAGCGAGGACTCAGGCGGCCCGGGGGGGGGGGCTGGCAGCGCCAGGGGCGCTGGCAGCGAGGTGACATCGAACAGGTGCAGGCGAAAGAGATGGGTGGCAGGGCCCCCCTGCCGGGGTGGACATGGTGGGCCCGCAGGGGAAAGGGGGGGCAGCCACCCGGCAAGGGCAGCAGAGAGCCCCCCGACATTTTAAACAGGCCGCCTCGGTTTTGGTTCGAGGCGCTGGATGTCTGGGGGGGGGGGTGATCTGGACTGGGAGTCAAAAAGCACTCCCTGGGCATGCTCAGGGATGCGCTCTGGCCACACCTGCGTTGAGAACCCAGCCGTGGCGACAAGAAGCCCCCTGGAGGCCAAACAAATTGGAGAGACGCCTCGAAACCTCGAAATTCTGGAGGAACAACAAAAAAAAGTCCTCATGGAGCGCGCCAGGGGCGGCGCCAGAGGCGCCGCCAGCGCCACCCCTGACCCCCAGCGCCGACCCAAGAAATCCGCGCGGATCTCCGAAAGCGTATGCCCACGCCGCCTTCTCTTCTTCGAAGCTCGTTGCCCTCGCCCTGGCGAGCTGCCCGCCCCGGGCTTGGCGGCCGAAGTTCGGGTCGGGCGATCGATGCCGTGCGGGGGGGGGGGGACGGCCACGGGCGGCAGCAGGGTGCTGCCGCTGGCGTCGTCGTGCTCCGTCGTCGTCGGCGTCGGCGTGGGCAGCGGCGGCGGCGGCGGCGAGGGGGAACGGTGGGGGGGCTCGCTGGAGCCCTCCGAAATGGGGTCCGAAAAGGGTGGGGTCGGAGGACCGCGCCGCATCGCCGATGCATCGCCGATGCATCGGTGACGTCGGCGATGCATCGACGCCGGCGGTGTGGAGAAAATCGGGCTCCACATCCAGGCGCCTCGCCGCTGCATCAGCGCTGCGGCTCGATCCTCCGACCCCATCTGCTCGGACCCCATGTGTGACGCCTGGACTGGCACAGGGCGAAGAGCATTGACTCGGAAGCTCCCTGATCCCTCTGAGAAGGCCCGCGCCTTCGAAGAAAACCTCCGAAAAAGGCACAATAACAAAAAACAAAAAACCAAACAAGCAACAACAATGGTAAAATCTTCTAGATGCAGCCCCGTCGCGCCACACCACCGTGGGCGCCGCCGACATAGGGGAAACCAACATGTATCGATACCGCTGCTCCCGGACGTCGCCCGGACCTCGCCCGAGGCGCCCCATGACCAGGATCCCGAAGCGAATCCACCCGCGGTACAGAGGGCCTCCCAGCATTCCCAGAGAGGCAGGAGCCACGGAACGCCGCGCGGTAGGCGCCGAGGAGATGCCACGACTCCACCTGCGGCCGCGACGCCGGCGTCGACGCGCGCGGGCGCCGACGCCGGCCGCGAGGCCGAGCCAGGGGCGAGAGGGGCGCGGGGCCGCGCCTGAGGGCGTGCGCGCACCATTCCATGAAGTACACGTCGCAGATCACGACCCCCATGCTCCATCGGACCGGGTTCTCGCGCGGGAGCGCGACCCAGGGCGACCTGAGGGCAGCAAGGGAGGCAGATGTCGTGTGCTAAGAAGGTGCACGTACACAAGATTTGAGGGCTCGGTTCGTTGTGCCTCCATGCTGGCCCTGCGCCCATGCGCTCCCAACCACTCGGTGAATGGGTGATTCGTGAGAGCAGATGATGACCACGAGGGGGTCACGGTCGTCATCCTGGAACTGGCCACAGGCATGTCTGTGATGGGGGAGAACGGGCATCGGCGTGACGGGGCCAAAGTCACGCATGCGAGGTGGGAGGAAGTGGTGACCACGAGGGGGGCTGCGGTCATGGCGTTCAAGGAGCAACGCCATGAGCGTCAAAGGAGTAACAAAGGAAACGACTGATCCACAGCCTGGACGGCGAGGACGAAGAGAAGGAGAAGGAGGACGAGAACGACGAGGAGGACGGCACGATAAGAAAAGAGGTCCCACACTCGCCAGAAGGGGGAAAGGTCATGACGGAATGCGCTTACGGCAGCGAAAGAGCTGATGTGATGATCGCGAGGTGGGTGAATATCACGAGGAATAAGAACTACGTCCTTGGGTGCGAGAGGGGACCGCCGGCATTGGGAGCGGGGTGGATGTGAGGGTCGTCGGAGAGGGGCAGGGGTCGGTGCGACGAGGGGGGACGCTGATGACCGCGGGGGGGATGAAAGTCATCGCTCGAAGGGGTGGCGAGCCCCAACGTGAGATGAGGGGCACGCAATGAAAAGCTCTATACCGTGGTCGAAGCTTCAAAGTTTCTTACGTGCCTTTGGGGCCTCTGCGTTGTTTAAAGGCCTCTTGGAAGCCTCTGGGGCGTTTTGGGGGCCGTGTGCACTAAATCCGAATCCATCAGCAAGTGTGGAGGGATCGTTGATTTGTACATCTCGCGGTCCTCTTGGTCGTTTCGCGGCCCGTGGAAGACGATGACGATGACTAGTGTCCGCTCGTTTTGGAGGTGGCCCGGGTGTTCTGTGGACGTGTTTTGGAAGTCTCAGGCTTGAGTGGGCTTTAGGGGGCCCTTGGGGACACGGACGTAACCGCGAAAGAAAGGGCGTGGTCATGCCGCTGGAACCGTCGTGCCGCCATGCCCCGCACACACCTGGTCTGGATCATGAGTTCCGGGCGTCTTGGGTGCCCGTGGGGGCCTCGCGGCGTGTTTATGTGGGGCCTTCGGCAGTGGACAAACCTCCCTGTCGCAAACCTCCCCTTAGTGAAAACGGCCTGGGACCGAAACCAACGGACCTGGACCCGCAAAAATGACGGCCGCGACGCCCTCTCGCGAACCGAAAACGGCCAATTCCTTAATCGACGTGTCAGGGTAGGAGGCCTGTCCACCCCCGAGGCCTCTGGAAGCCCTGCACGGCTCGTTAATCGGGGATCTCTGGAGGCCTTCCCGGTAACGCCGTGCAGGACGCAGGCGCGAGACCTTCCGTGCGCTTCTGGGGGTGGAAAGCTTTCTACGATTGTGGATGCCATGACAATGAACACATCTAACAATCCTATCATTGAACTAGAAAAATGTATTAAAGTGTTTGAAACATGTTCTAAACATGTTTCAAGCATGTTTTTACAAATTTAAAACATGCTTGAAACAGTTTTTAGATATCTGGAAATTATTTGGCAGCATGCTTCCTCTCCAGTAATCACTTCCACACTTCTGTGAGCCTTTGGGAAGCAGTTGGGGAGCCTTTGAGGGCCTCCTGGGCCTTCTTGGGGGTCCTTTTGGAGCTCTTCTGGGCCAGCTGGGGGCCCTCTTGGGCCGTCCTGAGGCCCTCTTCGTCTCAGGGGACCTGGGCAGCCTTTGGGCCCTCTTGGGGCCTTCTTGGGCCGACTGGGGGGTCTCTTATGGCCCTCGTGGGACTCCCTTGGGACCCTTTTGGGACCCTTTGGGGACCCTCTGGGGCCTGTCTTGGGCCGTCGTCGGGCTCTCTTGGACCATCTCGGAGCCCTCTTGGGCCGTCTTGGGACCCTCTTCGGGGCCTCTTGGTTTTTTTTTGGTGCGATCTTGGGGGCTTCATGAGTCGTCTTGGACGAGGTCAGGAACGAAACAGCGAACGTGCTAAAAGTATACGTTTCCCGAAAGGAAGGCGACGATCTGTGCCTCTTGGGGGCCCTCTGGGAAGCCTCTTGGGCCGTCTTGACGGCCCCTGCGGCCATCGAGAAGCCGTCTTGACAGACAGACAGACAGACAGACAGACAGACAGACAGACAGACAGACAGACAGACAGACAGACAGACAGACAGACAGACAGACAGACAGACAGACAAATAAATCGACTCGGACATGAAATCTCGACGCCGGCGATGGCCGCAGAGGCAAGAGCGAGGAGCACAAGGGTATGGGGCCCATCCAGACCAGGAGATCGGGGCGGATCCAGCTGCGGCGGGGCCCCGAGCCCCAAGACGCCCCAAGAGGCGACATCGAGGGAGCGGTGCTGACATCGGCACCTTCTCCTCCTGCGACCCCACCCGCTCCGGCCCCGTCTGGGGGCGGCCCCGAGAGGGGGCCGAGAGGGGCGGCCTGCAGAAGTAGAACTGGAGGATCATCAGCTGCCGCCCCACGGTGCGGAGCCAGGTGCTGCCGCTGCGGCCCCCGTACCTGCGGGGGGGGGGGGGGGCGGGGGCTCGAGCGGCCTGGGGCCCGGACTCCCTGCCGAGGCGGGAGAGGGCGGGAGGGAGCGCCATCGCGTCGCCCCTCGGGCGGGACGACAGGGGGAGGGGCCAGCAAGAGGGGGGGGGGGGGTAAGCGAAGCAGCTCACGCAAGTGGTCATCTCGCCGGCGATCCCAGCTTGGCCCGAGGCCCGAAGCGGGCCTCCGGAAGACGAGATCGGCCAAAGCCTTCCTCGAACCTAGTCGTCGTCCTCGCCTTCTTCCACACACCCCCCTAGGACTCCTATCGTTGTCACCTCCTGGTCCCCTTGAGTCGGATGAAAGGGGGAGAGAATAGTAGTAAAGGGGGGAGGGCGAATCAGCTTACGGAGCTGATTTTCCCAGCGCCTCCCCGCGACAGAGGCACCAGTGCATCGAGGAACGCACCCGGCACCAGGGCCGAAACCAGCTGCGTGCAGCAGGGGAGTGCCTGAGGGACACAGCACAACATTCCGCCTGCGTCCTCGTGGCCCTGGGGGGTCGTGCTGGTATCCGCTTCGGCCCTCGCAGGGCAAATACCCTTACATCGGGCCGATCGCTGGCGTTCATGCTGGATTTGTGACCAGTTTCGGAAAGTCCCGAGCTCCGAGGCAACTCCTGGGAGGCCTCCGTAGGAACGACTAAAGCCTACCAAGCCCGACGGAGGAGCCATGCAGCCAGACTAGGCCGCACGAAGTGGGGGATTCGGCCCGATTGCGCGAGACTACACCGGATTAAAACAGGATTAGGCCCGTTACGACCACGGATATACCAGCGCCGATGCTGAATTGAAAACCTCCCAGGCGCCTCCCAGGGGGCAGGGCCGTAACGGGCTGCTTGCAGCAGGTCTCGTACCCCCCCGGCCCAGTCTTTAGTCGGGCGTGTCCCCCTACAGGGGGATTTTGGATGAAAAATAAAAAGTTCAACAAAAAATGCAAAAATACTGAAAAAAAGAGAAAGAGAGCGAGAGAGAGAGAGAACAAAAAAAAAACAAAAACGTCCCCAGACAATGTTTTCAATAATGTTTGCAGATTCCTCCTGTAGATGGACATGCCCGACGTAAGCCCAGTCCCACCCCCTCCGTCCGACCCGAGGAGGGAGAGGGCGCGACCCAGACACCCTGGCGCCTCGACACGATCGGGACGGCCAGCCTGCGAGCACGTCTGGCCCGTGGGAGGCCCTAAGGAGCTGCCGCGGGACGAGCCTCAGCGCAGGAAGGCTCGGCCGCGGGGGTAGGCGTCGGCGCGAGGTCCAGGTGCCCATGCAGGAGACCGGGAGGGCGTGTGATGGGCCTGTTTTCCACCACCACCACCACCACCATAAGTTGGAGGGGGGAAGGAGGTGGAGAACGAGAAGGAGGAGGAGGAGGAGGAGGAGGAGGAGAAGGACCCGATCCCCCTCCAACTTATGGTGGTGGTGGAAAACAGGCCCATCAGCGTGTGCCCATCCGACGGCGCGCTTTTGTTCAGCAGCGTGGCTCTCCAACGGTCTGGGCCGCTTTCCCGGGACCAGCTCCTCAGCCCGCGTCGTCTGTTGTGCGCCCCGGGGGCCTGGCCAGGGCCCCTGGAGGCCGGGAGCGGTCAAAACTGGCCGCCGTTGGTTGTTGCACGACGCAAGGCTGTCAGGGTGGAGGGGGAGCAGCCACGACGCTGAAATACAGGAGGGGCCCCTCCACCAGAAACCGCCCACAAGAAACCCAACCCTGAGACCCCAGGGCGTCCAGGGACTCTGAATGTGGGAACGTTACGCTTTCCGTCGCGAAACCCTCGAGACCCAAGGAACCCAGGGCACCCTGGAGGCAAGCAGGGTGTTGCTTGGTATAGGCCCCCACTGCAAGGAGCAGCTCGGGCTCCGGAGGGGCCCGCTCTTCCTCGGGCTCTTCTCCTCGGCTGCTCCTCTTTTGCGCTCCTCGTGCACCCGGGCGCGCATGTTGGAGCCGGCAGGGGGCATCCTTCCTTACTCAGCGCGCTCCTTATGGCGGTAGCCTTAGGTCGGGCATGTCCTCCTACAGGCAGATTTTGGACGGGAAACTAAAAATACTCGAAACATAACCTTAACAACTATTCAATTCAAAAAATCGTCTCAATATCATGTTTTACTAATTTTGGATACTCCCCCTGTAGAGGGGCATGCCCGACTTAACGGTAGCCTGGCTGCACATGTACAGCGCGCTTAAGCATCGTTTTGCACAAGCAACACCTCGATTTCCGACTGCCTCAGGCGAACCAAGCAAGCGGCAGTGAGACGCTACAAAATGAGTCATCAAGACCAGCGGTCCCGGCCACATAGCCGTCACCCCAACAATGTTTGTACCGGAGTCGGTGCACCAAGTTTCCAGGAAGTGCCAGCAAAGAAGCGCGAGAGACGGATGAATAAGAAGAAGAAGAAGAAGAAGAAGAATAGTAAAGATAATAATAATAATAAGAATAATAATAATCAGAAGAAGAAGAAGAAGAAAAATAATAATAATAATAATAATAACAATAACACTAATAGTAAGAATAATGATGCTAACAATAACAATACAAAGATAACCTAATCAGAAATGGAGGAGGAGGAGGCGGAGGAGGAAAGAGGCACCGGAGAACAGACAATTGCGTTGCGAGCGCATGCATCCCCATATGGTGCAGTCGACGATTCAAATAATGGGCCTCACACAACGACTGCCGAAGAGAGAACGCACAGTGCATAACGAGCTCCAGGCTACGGCCCATGCGGCGACGCGGATGATAGAACACCCCACCTGAACTCTACCAGAACTCCACGTCGGCCTCTAGCATTGGCTGCACGTTCCGGCGCCCCCCACACGACGCGGGAGCTCCCCACCCCTGTCACCCGCCGCCGTTCGAGCCCCGGCTCGCGAGAGGAAGCCTTGAGCTTCAAGCTTTGGCTCGAGCGCTCAGCGCTCAGCCCAGTCTGCGCCAGAGCGGTGGGGAAAGCGCCTCCAGAACGCGTTCCAAGCCAAAACAAGCTCGCGCCGTGACGCAAATTGCGACGGAAGGCTCTTGGCCGTTTTCGGCCTCCGGGGGCCCTCGCTGGGCCCTTGGACTGGCAACGAACCGCTCGGGATGAACAACCAGCCCTGGGGAAAGGGTCGGGACTTCCAGGGGCCCTATATGTAAGAAATCGCGCATCTGGGCCTTCAGAGCGCGCTCCAGGGAAAGCACCCCCCATTCCTCACCGCCTCAAACTCGCTCTCGTCGCTGAAGCATGCTCCCTGCAGCCCGGGGTACCTTCCTCGCCTCGCCTCCCCGATTCCTCCCCCATCCCCCCAGTGTCGCCCGTCCCCCCACCCTCTTCTCCACTTCCGCGCGCCAGCCCCCTCCCCCAACCACCCCACCTCCTCTGCCCTACCCTCCCCCCCTCCTCCTCCTCTTACCCCCACCCCCCGTAGCCATGTAGGCTCAGGATGTCTGCACCCGAGGGCTTCCGCGCCCACGTGCCAAAGTGGGATAGCTCTGTTTCCCGAGCCAGCTTTTCAACCTATTCAGGGGTCCTCCTTTCTCCAGTGCGGGCTCAGTGGCTCCTGACGGAGTCCGCACCTGGAGAGGAGGGCTCGCGAGCCGCATGGTCCCTCTCCCCGATGTTCTCGGCGGCACGAGGCGACCACCGTGGGGGTGCTCGTGCGGAGCCGACAGAAGCTGGGCGTCCAGAGTGCGGCGCCGCTGAGGTCGCAGCGCCCCAACTCGCGTCATCGCCCGAGCCAAGGTGGCGCAAACCGAGGCCGAGAAGGAGAAGGAGAAAGTCAGCCCAGGGGGAAGATGGTCGGCGCCGTGCGACCCGCGCTCCGTGGGCGAAGAACCGTTAGGAGGTATCCTAGCTCCGCAAGCAGAACGCTGAGCTTCGCAAGAAGCTCGCTGCGGTTGAGAAGTCGGGCAAGCGGCCAGCTGATGATGCAGTCGGTGCCGACGGTGGGAAAGAAGTCGACCGTGCTGAGATGCTCGCCGCCATCCAGTACCACGAGAAGGCCATCAAGGATCCTGCAGTACCAGCTTTGGTCAAGCAGACGCACTCGCTCGAGCTGGAGACGCTGCGGGTACAGCTTGAGAGCACTCAGACGCCTGAGGCTGCCCATCGCCGTGCCCAGGGACAAGCTCAAGAATGCGCAGCAACAGCTCAACGAGTTGGAGAATGACGCGCAAACGATGGCCAAGCACTTGGAGGATCTCAAGGCGGCGCTTGAGAACAAGAAGGCCGCCATCCTCACCAGGCAGGCGGAGGTCGAGGCATTCCGCAAGTCCTTCGCGGAGTCGGCCAAGGCCATGGCCCCAGAGGACAGAGGTGGAGTGCCGATCGAGACCAAATTCACCAACGGTGAGTTGCCAGGGGGCGTCCGCCAGGCCGTCACCACTCTCGGCGACGAGACCGTCACCAAGCTCCTCAACTACCTGGAGGAGCAGGTCCGCAAGGCCGCCATGGATGGCACAGCCTCAGCACATGCAATTTGAGCCTGGTCCTCACGATACTGCTGATGATGCTGACGCTGAGCATGGGAGCCAGCCCGCAGGTATCGGAGTCAAACGTGACAACGAGGCGGAACATAGTTCCAGAGAGCAGCTGCAAGAGCTCATTGAGCTGGCAGCGAAAGATGGCGCGGGTGTCGGCGACGACGGGAGCATAGTTCTGCAGCAGTTCGATGACAAGCTCCTTGGATTCCACCGTGGTATAAGGCAGAAGATTTGACAGCCCGCTGCTCGTAAGCTGCCTCCCTGTACATTGTGGACAGGTCCGCCGGCCACCCGACCCTACCCTCGCAGTGCTTTTGTTTTCCATCGAGTCCTTCAATGTCAACCGTGGCGTTCGCACGCTGAAGGAGCAGGTCCAGGCTTCAAATGCCACGGTCTTTGTTGGCCAGGAGATCGGTTTAACGGACCGAGAAGCTGATGTGTGGCGTGGGCTGGTCGCCGTGGTTGGACATATTTGGCCAGCCCTGGCGCGGCGTCAAGCGGGACGACCCCTACCAAGGGAGT